GGGCAGTTTTGGCAGCCACAATGTAAAGAAGATATTTAACTATTAGAGAGGGTCCAGAGGAGGGCAACAAGGATGGTGAAGGGCCCTGAGGGGAAGCCTGGTGAGAAGTGGCTGAGGTCACTTGGTCTGTTCAGCCTGGAGGAGACTGAAGAGAGACCTCACTGCAGTTACAACTTCCTTGTGTGGGGAAGAGGAGGGGCAGACACTGATTTGTCTGTTGACCAGTGACAGGATCCAAGGGAATGGCCTGAAGCTGAGTCAGAGGTGGTTTAGATTGGACATTAGAAAAAGCTTTTTCACCCAGAGGGTGGTCAGGCACTGAACAGGCTCCCCAGGGAAGTAGTTACAGCACCAAGCCTGACAGAGTTCAAGAAGCATTTGGACAATCCTCTCAGGCACTATTCTAAGTGCCTGAGACAGTGCCTTAATAGCCTAAGGTGTGACTTTTAGGAATGGTTCTGGGCAGAGCCAGGACTTGGACTCAGTGATTCTTGTGGTTTCCTTCTAACTCAGCATATTCTGTAATTCTGTGACATTACTCTATGTTAATACTATGCCCTAAACTGCAACAAGAAGAGAACAAAGACATTGCCTTATTTCCATAGTATATTCTGCAGGGAAAGGACCCTGGAATGCAATTCCAAAAAGGCATTGTCACATTGCACAGCAAAAGGAATTTGGAGACATTTGGTTCTGAAACCAAGCACATGAGTTTTCTATTTACTAGATATGAATGTCCCACCTCAAGACTCCTGATTCCCTGAGGAAGCACTGCCACAATACTTCAAAGCAAAAGTACTTCACTTGTGCCCAGTTAATGTCCAAGCTATTCAAGTGTTGTGGGGGAAAAGCTCATTGCTACCTAAATTCCTGACACAAGATGGCCCTTAACCCAAAAATTACAGTTATTTTCTTCCATCACCTGTGTAGCAGGAAGAAGGCTGCCCTTGCTCTCAATTTCTTTTCCATGCAGATTAATTTTCAAAGAAATCTCTGAATGTTTCAAGCAGCCTTGGGCATTTTTTAGCAGGTACATGAAAATGAAGTGACAGGCTTTAGGGAGGATGGGGAAATAAAGTAGTATTTTGAATGTTTCCTTTACTGTTAGCAATCAGTACTGTTTATTCTAACGTATCCTCTAATCTAAAGGCATGTCAATGGAAAGGCTTCACCAGAGACTGCAACAAATTGTTTACTCAATAAAGGTCATTCAATTGGTGCTGTTCATCATTTAGTTCCATTGTGAACATAAGCTCAGCTCTGACATTTAACAGTTTAAAGCTAGGTAGGGTTACTGTTTTCAAGACTAGTCTCATTGCCAGACAGAATTTTAAAATTGTTTTGAAGATGTAGTGGGAAATATTTCTTCTGATTCAAAGGCAGTATGTTTTTTACAGCTCTGAGCTATGTATTTAATGGCTTTATTTACCTTGCTTGAGAATAAAGTGATATTTTGTTGTTTATAAATACATTTGAAAATACATTTTACAGCTTGGTTTCCCTTTCAATTCATTATGGTCTTTAAAGGTCTTTAAAAGGACCTTAAAAGGTCTTCAAAACATGTAGAAAAAGTCTGCTTTGTTTGTTCTTAGAAACTGCCCTGGGGAGTCAGGTCTCTCTTCTCATTACTGTTTGCTTTCTTTGTGCAGAGCAGAAACTGTCAAAAAGAAGTTTAGCCCTCATGACTGCAAAGACATTTTTCTAATGCACTTGAGATACCAGCAGGTATTAGATTGTACCTCACACCAAGTACTTTGCCTTGTCTTTTCTCCATGATTTGAAACACCTATGCTCTACTTCCTACCACAGAGATATTGATGAGAGACTGCAGTCTTCCAGTTGCCAGAACATACTTTCATCTACATTGACCCCAAACCAAAAAGATACCTCTCATATTTTTCCCCTTCCCTAATCATATGTTGTTTTGAAGGTTTTTTTGTTGTTATTTTTTTCTTTAAAGAGATAGAAGACTAAATTAGGATCTGAGGGGATGAAGTTAGACTTGTGGTGCAGAGCAATACCTAAAAGAGTGAAATGTCTGACTGTTGCATCACTTGTACTTGAATATCAGGAGTGAAGAGCCCCTGCTAGTGTCTGTCTGGTTGTCTGACTATTCCTTTGGCATGTACTGAAAGATGGTGAAAGGTGACATGGGAATGAAGACTGGAAGGGAGAAAAAAATAAATTTGTAAAGGACAACTGGGAAAATAACTTATCAGAAATGAAGTAATAATTATGTGGCATGTCCTTTATTTTGAAGTTTTCAAGTCATAAGCTGTAACTTAATTGAATGTATATCTGACCCCAAAATCCTTCTTTATTTGAGTCACATTTTTAAAATTACATAAGTTTAAAAGAGTATTTGCAGCTCCAGTGTTCTCCAGCCACTCCTATTATGCAATGGTTATCTAATTTTTCTGTATGCAAGTCAGGTATAGCCTCAGGATATTCAGAATCTGCTACAGTTATAAAAAGAGAAACATAATTTGGTTTCAATACATGTCTCATATAGAGAATTTAAACACAATAGAAAATGAAGTACTAAAAAGAACTGCTACCCTATTAGAATGAGAAAGTTTTAAGAAACTACATAAACTGAGTCAAAAATATGCCACAAAATGGTTTAGAGATAAAATTCTACATCATGCTGTTGCCCATTTCAGCTCATAAATATAGAACTTACATAGCACACAAGTAACTACATTCTCTGTCTATTAACATGAACTCCATGGAAAATATGCAACATTCTTCATCCCATTTATCAGTACACATAACAAAATATAACAGCACCCCTGTAATAAGCAGTTCAAGCTACATAATTAAAACTGGGGGATCAATGGAAAACTAAAGGAACTTAGTATTTAATTTTCAGCTAGATGAAAAGGACTGCCTCTGGAAGTTCAGAGCATATAATCCTTTGATGAGACCCATTCAGATCTGAAATCAGAGTTTCAAATGCACTAAGAACTTCTGGGAAGCTTTCTAGTATTTATTTTCTTGAAGATGGGATTCAACATCCCACATGCCACACCTCTGCTGGCACTTCAACCCTAGCCTAACAATGCAGGGATTTCTGAAGAAACTTCTCACAGGATTTCAACAAAAATTCTTCTGCATTTGATCAAGTCTGAAAAAAAAAAACCAACTCTATGGCTGTCCTTATGACTAAAAACAAAATAGCTTGTGCTTGAAGATAAAGTTGACACCAACTGCAAGAAAAAAAATCAGGAAGGAATTAGCCCCTTGGATTTCAAAGTAAATGATGACATGATTACAGATTAGGCATGATTAAGGACACTGCTAAATTGGTACCTTTGTGAACTGCAACCATTTGCATCACTGAATAAAGACTATTCTAGAAAGAGAGTTAAATATGACATCTTCTAGCACTGTCACACTAAATTTTAAGCCTCTTGCCCTGACAGTGCACTCTGTGGCTTTAAATGTCTGACTTATCTAGAGACTACAAGGGCAGAGTCACACTTGACCACAGACAGATACAGAATGACAGAGACAATAGCTACCTAAAGGAATGATGAAGAATGACTACATCATATATGGTTTATACTTGATCACTCTTGGAATCTCTGGTACTTCCCAGAATCTGGCATCTAAAATGAAGTAAGAGTTCACGTCATCCTCACCTGGGTATAGCTCAGTACATCTGGAGACAGAATATATTTTTTTTAGCTTGCTGGAAGAGAAGAGAAATCCTAATCACTGATTTAGATAATCCTGATTCCTATAGCTCATTATGGTCCCATAAAACATGCATTCTCTGCTGTATGACATACTAGTTCTCTCCAGACAGCTGCAGAAAGTCTGATCCCAGTCCTGCCTATAGCCCCCTGGTCAAGTCAACATTCTGGGAAACAGAAGACACAGAATTTAATTGCTCCAGTCTAAAAAAGCACTGACTAAAAAACTCTCTCAGTCTAAAAAAGCACTGACTAAAAAACTCTCTCAGATACCAAACTTTCATACTGGTAGTGCCATTTCCATGTGTTTTCAAAGAAAATTTTCTTCAGATTTACGATGTGTAATGTGTATCCACACAGGATAAATTATTGGGACACTCAGCCCTGCCAAGAAGGCAGATGTTCTAGGGATGAACAATGCAGCATGAAAGTACTTGAGAAATTTCACTTGGGTCCTATTGAATTTCACATTCCCACTAACATAAGATTTTGTAAAGAACACTTGTTAAGTGATCCTCAAAATTATTAGGTGCAAGTTTCAGCATATTTCTCTATATTCATCCCTTGCTATGCACCATCGTTGTTTTCTGGCTCTAGGTTGAAGCAATAAAGAGCATGGCAACAGCGATTGCTTGTCACTACTGTGTCTCTGTTTTGCTGATTGTTTGGATATTTTCTTCACTTTCTCCCCACTTTTCTGGTGAGCAAGATTAGTTGTTCCTCAGGCTTGTGATCATATACATTAATCCAACTGGCCTGGAATGAAATGACCATGAGACTGCAAAATCTGATATGTCCTTCTCAGTTCAGTGATGATTCAGTGATGATAAAATAGATGTTCAGGAACTCTTCTTGCTATGATTATAACTCACTGTATAATTTTCAGTTAAAACTCAATTCAGATTTATGACAAATTAAGGTCACTTCAAAGAGGCTTTTGAACCCTTAATGGAGAAATATCACCAAGTGACTTACCATAAAGATTAAATAAGTTTTTTCTGTCTGACATGTTAAAGCCACAAAGGTGAAAAGTTTGATTTTGGTTATGAATTGCACTGTTCTGAATGCATTTCCTACAGCTTATGTTGAAACCTTTAATGAGTCCTTGCATTAGAAGTTACAAAATAAATATGATTAAAGTAATAGGTGTAGAGGCAGAAGATTCCTTTTCAGTGTGTTCAGTCTATATTTCCATTCTAAATAACAGACTGTAAGAATCTTTCTACATAAGGGTATCTCATTTATTCATCAAAAAATCAGAACAACTATGAGTTATTTAAGATTTCAAAGAAAAGTTCTAGTATGGCTGAAATCAATACAAAACTATATATGAATTAAATGGAAACAGCATACAGTTCTCAAAGCTAATTAGTACTGTACTTTTCAAATAACATCATCTATAACTGATAGACAAAGCACTACATTAAAACTTCAGCTTTTATTTGTCTGCCTCCTCCATATTTTCTCTTTAAATATCTTCCAAAACTGACCCAACCTTTAAGAAAATTGATTATACCTAGAAGAATATAACTTCTGAACTAAGGCTTTCTAAACTCTTGTGTAAGCAATTTCTCTCCTTTTCTCTCACCTCCTCACACAATGTCCTTTTCCTGAGATCTTGCTGTCCTCTAGTGGCAAAGGGCTATGACATGTAAAGTCGTCGAAGCATTTGAAAGCAGATGTCCTCTTCTTCATTATGATTTTCATCATCTCTGCTCCAGGTAACTTTCAAGAGTGGCAGCAAATGGATTCGTGAAAGAAGCTGATGATTTCAACTTGCCAGACCATAGCAAAGTCACTGAGTGAAACATAGCAAGTTCAGTAGGTATTTGAACTTAGAACTATGCCCCAAGGTTGAATTTCTTAAGCAGTCTACAATTAACCACAGGTATATTTAATTAATTATTTTTTATCTTGAAAAGAAAAAGCAGATGTATTAGAGACCCTCATAAGCATGCCTATTGAAATAAATTATCTTAAGACTTTAGATGGGATTTTCAGTACATTTCCTCAGACTTCAATTGTACAGTCCTACTTCTAAAAAAGTTTATGACAAAGTCTTGCTTATGAATGTTAACTTCTAACTAGTTGAGCTAATGATGAACTGTGGTCAATTTTGTAATTACCCTGTGTCTTATACTCACAACACCTCAAATGACTCAAATCCCAGTTATGCAATTTCATGCTGGGTCACAGAAAGACTGCAAGGTGTAAGCCATTCATAACGATGGATGTAGCCACAGCCATGCTGTGACACATGAAAAGGGGAGAAGACATCTACCTCTCCACCATCCAGCAACCATCACCTCAGCTTCACATGGCTCCAGAACCCTACATACCAGCCAGCGTGTCTGGTGAATCATGGAACTGCAGATGCTTACCATGAAGGTCTCCAAGGAGAACTGAGGCAGATATCCAGATATCTTTCATGCAGATGAACAAAATGCAGATGTCACAACAGGGCAAAAAAACAACAAAGCAATCATAAGATTTGGCAGTTTAAAGCTTTTATGGAACAGCTAGTGTACCAGATTCAAAACAGATTTTTCTCAATTGAAAATCATCAGGTCTCATTATATAAAACAAAGAAGATAAGTAGAAGGTAAGTAGATCAGCCATTTGGCTTACTCAAACTAGCACTCTGTGCTCAATGTACAGTACTGGGGAAAGAAAACAAGTAAATAAAGAACAGCCCAATAGCAAATCTCCTTTTAGACCTTATATCATAAAACCATTGACTCATGAAAATGTTTGGGTTGGAAGGACCTGAAAAATTATCTAGTTCCAACTCCCCTCCCATGGGCAGGGACACCTTCCATTAGATCTGGTTGCTCAAAGCTGCATCTAACTTGGCCTTGAACACTGCCAGGGATGGGCCATCCACAACCTCTCTGGGCAATCTGTTCCAGTGCCTCACCACCCTCACAGTAAAGAACTTCTTTGTAGTATGTAATCTAAATATGCCCTCTTTCAGTTTAAAGTTATTACCCCTTGTGCTATCACTCCATGCCCTGGTAAAAAGTCTGTACAATCCAGCAAATCTAAAAGCAATTTTTTAAGAATTACATTCTATATATTTTATATCTATGTCCTCACTAGAATTACCTTATCATGTTCCATCAGACACAGACATTTTTTGAATAATGAATGAGATAATAAAGTATTTTCAACTCCCTTCAGTGTAGGCAAAAACAATTTAATACTGATTTGTGAAGGATTTTTATTTATGCCTGTAATATACAGCCTTAAAAGTCACTCCAATTTCTGAGCTAACAGAAAGGATGTTGTGCAGAAGTTTGGTCACTTGTCTTTCATTTAAAGCATGTTCTGTTTTCAGGTCATTATCATCATTCATTCTAAACAAAAGAATGCAACTCTAAAGCAACTCTCATTTTTACTATTACTCAATCTGTGGCAATTTATCATCTTCAGCCTTCCTAAGCTTCCCCTTACTTGCCATATCTTGACCTCGTACACTAAATTTTACTGGAATGCATGGGTATCAGACACTTTATTTTATAAAATGAACATCTGCTAACTTGGAGGTGAGCTTAATAATACATGTGAAAAACCAAACCTTCTTGCAAAGGTCTAATTCCTGCAGTTGTACTTTTCTCTATGGGACAGATCCTTAGATCCATAGAACTTGTTTGTCAACAGTCACCAACAACTCCTAAAATGAAATGAAGTCAGGGGTAAGAAAATTCAACAATAGATGTATTGTTGATGTAGTAATATATATAGTAATAAGAGCTGGCTGAGGTTAACCCTGCGCATTTCACTCCTGGGATGTTTTAATTAACTGTATAAATTATGTAATTAATAGAAATGGTAAATAGGAAACTGCTCAACTATCCCAAATATCTTCACTAACCAGTGAAGAACTTTATAACACAATACACCCAACATCAATATCCTCAAAGGACTAAGGATTGGGCTGCTCCAATTGACACTTTAAAAAGTAGCATAATATGAAGAAAAATTTTTAAATAACTTGATAAGGTGTTTTCTCCAGCAAATGATTTTGTGGATCCATTCATTTCTGAAAGCTAAGACATCTCATCTTCAGATACTGTTTCAAATATTTGTGCAATGAACAGCTGGATTGCTTTCTGAATTGTCCTAATCAGTGATTTAAAACAAACTTTGTTAGCTTACAAATTATATTTTGAGGTAAACTATTCTAATCTCTAAACATTAGGAAAATCAATCCATAAAGCAATAGGAAAGCAGTTTAAATTTCTGTTTAGAAAGGGTTGTGTTAATATGGTCTTTATTATCCATAAAAATTCCATAATGCACCCAGGGGCAGCATAAGAGAAACAGCATTTACAGTTCTTCCAATCTATTTGTTAATGTCAAGTGGATTATTAGAAGGAATGCAAGAGCTCTCACAATACTACACTTTTTATTCCAGGCTTAAAGCTTAGAGATTTTGATACTCAAAAACCCAGAATATGAAAATAATTCAGTTCAAACACCAGCATGAATGTATTTTTAATTGTTCCCAGAGCTCAGACAGCAGTGAAGTGGACAAACTGCCTGATACCAACACACAAATGAAATCAAGAGCTTTGCTTTGTTACAGAACTTGCTGAATCACCAAATACTGTGCAAGCTATGTTACTGCCAGTATTAGAGGAAACATAGCAGCACTCTTCCCTTAATTGTCACAAATTCTGTATCAGTCTTTTTCAGTGAAGCAGGGTTTAAGTAGAATACATCACCAATGTCATTTATCAATAAATTATATTCAGATAAGGAATTGTTTTTTCCTCATTAAAACAATGAGGTAAAATTAGGGTGGGGAAAGAAAGTACATATTCTCCAAACAAAGTTTTTACTCAGGGAAATATAGCAACATTTTTTATTCTATTTCTACTACTGTACAAAAAAAAAAGTAGTTTCCCCTTTCAGTAGATTTTGAAACTCAGGATTATCTCATTGGAAAGACATTTCTAAGGTTATTTTTTTTTCCTCATTGTTAGGAGGAAATGGTTGCCTTGGTCATGGCTAACAAACCTGGCACATACATGAGGCAAAATCTGTTTTGAAGTGATGACATTTTTGTCATTCATGACAAAGGTAGGACAGATTCTGAGGTTTGGGAACAAATGGATGTTCTCCTCTGCCATGGGGATGTTACACTGAATTCCCTATGACAGGTGAAGGAACCAAACAGGATTTTTTTGGGAGACAGAGAAGGAAATGTCATTAGGATAATTTAAGGAGCTGCTATCCTTATTCTTGACAGGGAATCTTCAAACAGGGAATTCACAAGTTTCGTATGAGGCGCACAAGGCGCAAGCACTGACCTGGGGCACGACAGGGCACCATTGCCCAGCGCTCGCTTCTTGGCGGTGCCACCACCAGCTTTTATGTTCTTCTTCGTGGGGAGTGCCAGCTGGTCTCACAGGTCACAGATTCCTACCGGTGAGGGGTAATTTCCCCTCCAAGGTCTCCTCAACACCAAAGCTGGTGACACAACCTGCGTGTCCCTCTTTGGCCAGGGAGAACAGTGCGAGGTAATCGCGTAGACCTGCCCGGGATGTGGCGCAACCTGAGGGATCCGGGGCAGGTGACAGAGAGAACAGAAATGGACACTTGAGGAGAAATAGACGCGGTGAAGAGAAAATGGAAACTCTTTTTTTTCTTCTTCTTTTTGCTGGAGCATCCCCGAAGAAGCTGAGATGGTGGCAGCGGGAACGGGGAAGTTTGCTGTGACCTCACATTAACTCGTTTTTAGCAGCACAACCCAAAAAACGCCGTCACGTTTAGCTGAGGGCAGCAGATTCCCGCCGCCAGCCCCTCCGGCTCTCCCTCTCCGNGGAGGTGAAGCCCAAGGCGCGGCTGCTGCGGGGCTCCCTGCGGCGCGTCGGCGGCTCCCGGCCCGGCGGCCTCATCGGGGCCAGCTTCAAGTCGACGGCCTCGGTGCAGGAGCTGGAGTGCGTGGCCGAGTACGAGCGCCTGAGGAAGGAGTACGAGATCTTCCGCGTCAGCAAGAACAACGAGGTGGCCTCCATGGTGAAGAAGGAGGCCAAGCTGGACAGGGAGAACAAGCGGCTGCGCGCCGAGCTGCAGGTAGAGCCCACTGCCCCGCGGGTGAGGGCACTGAGCAGCAAAGCTGAGGCTGCCTCGTCCCGCTTCTGGGGAAAGCTGTGGCAGGGAGGTGACGGGTGCGAGGGAAGGCAAGGTGCTGGGCAAGGTGCTGGGGAAATGGTGCCCCGCTGCTCTCCTGCTGAGCCATGGGGATGCTGTCAAAGTGCGGGATGGGGACCGCACCCTGCGCTGCTCTGGCGACCGATGACAGGGAATAGCCTGAAGCTGTGCCAGGGGAGGCTTAGGCAGGATATTAGAAAAAGCTTCCAGACCCAGAGGGTCTGGGACACTGGAATAAGCACCCCGGGGAAGTGGTCTCAGCAGAAGGCTCGCAGAGTCCAAGAAGTGTTTCGACAATGACATGGTGTGACTATTGGAGTGTCCTGTGCAGGGCCGGAGTTGGACTCAATGGCCCTTGTGGTTGCCTTCCAACTCAGAATATTCTCTGATTCTGGTCGCCCTACAGTAAGGAGAGACGTAGGGTGCTGAGATAATACTGTTGTCAGGCCTGAAAAGTAATCTAAAACCTCTTACCGTCAACAAAACTCTGAAAAAAATTAAATATGAAATGTTTTCAGGCACTTCAGAAAACATACCAGAAAATACTGAGAGAGAAAGAAAGTGCATTAGAAGCTAAATACCAAGCCATGGAGAGAGCTGCTACTTTTGAACATGATCGAGACAAGGTCAAAAGGCAATTCAAGGTACGGTTTGACTTTCTATTCATTGGAAAATGACCAAAAGAGATGGATGTCACTTGTTCACATTCTGTAAATGAACCTTTCTCCAATAGCTTTCATGAGGGCCTGTCCTTAAAGACACCTTAGAGTGTCATAGCTGTAGCTGCCTATTTCCATTAAAATTATCCTACTGAAACCTCTCTGTAAGACTAACATGAAAAAAATATGAAATAACTTTATTAATATTAAAAAGAGAATATAAGGTGATATATCATCAGCTAAATTCCTGCATTGAATTTGAACACAGGAGTATATTCATATTGGAAAGTGACAAGCAAACATGAGCTGAAAATTGACACATGCTTAAGGAATGTATAAACACAGAGTTCTATTATTTCTGAATAAATTTTATATATTGCATTGTAAGGTGTAACACTTCTAGCTTACATTTTTTGAAAAGTGTGTGTTGGTGCATCTCTTTTGACTTCAAAAATACGATAGTAAGTTAAAGACGGTTTTGCACTCTATGGAGGGATGACTTGAAAGGCCAGGCATGTTTCTGCTTTTCCTTTGCTGCAGATGATACTTTTGCCACCCAAAACAGGGAAGTAGGTTCTAGTTTTTCACTATTTTCAAGATTCTTCATGTCCTTAATTTTAGTTGTCTGTAGTTACATGTAGTTTGTGTTTAGAAGATATATAAAAAGAAGATTATTTCTGACCTTATTTGAGAAATGAGACATGAAGACTATTTCATTTCTTTGAATTTAAAACTAGATTAGTGTTTTTTTTCCCACATGATGATAGTAAGTTACAAACAGGACAGCTAGAGATGCTTGATCAATTTCTGTCATAGAAAATTTACATTCCTGCAACAATAAAATGTAAATACAAGACTATATGTAATTGTAAAGAAATACATGGAAGAATCTAAGGAAACCTTTGAAAAAATTGTTACATATAGCAATTTTAGAAGACAATAAAGTTTAAAGAGTAAAAAGAGTTGTTTTAATTTTTAAGAAAAATACTAATGCAGGCTTCTTTCAGAACGATATGCTAAAGTTTATAATGGTAAAATTTTAAAAATAGATATTTTTTAACAATGGTGTCCTGCTCATTTCTGATTCACAGTGGCTTCAGGTTCATATTTTCATGTCTTTGCCTGGTAAATGAATGCTAGAAGCTTACTTTTTAAATTGAAAGTAGATAACATGAGCTCAGGAACAGATACTGAATTTTAAAAGATTTTTTTTTTTCTCCTTCCTGCTGATAGATTTTTAGAGAAACTAAAGAAAATGAGATTCAAGACTTACTGAGGGCCAAACGAGAGCTCGAAGCAAAACTCCAAAGACTCCAGGCCCAGGGAATCCAAGTGTTTGATCCTGAAGAGTCTGATTCTGATGATAACTGTACAGATGTTACGGGTGAGAATTTCATCCCCAACGCTTTGTGCTGGAACATGACTAAAGTCTCCAAATAATAAAGCAGAAGAAAGATAATTATGTTGTTTTGAAAAAAAAAAAAAAAAGTTTTATTAATCCAGATGAAAAGCAATTTAAAGTAGTTTGAAGGGTAAAAGCAACCAACCTTGCAAACTAGGTTTAGATTGTGGGAACTTCACATTTCTGGTGTTACAAATGGATAAATGAAAACACAGAGTACTGTCTAGACACAGTTATTTGAACACTTTTTAAAAATTTTTCATGAACTATTCTGAACTTTCTAGTCTTTTCTGAGTTTTCTTATTGTCGATCTAAGAGATGATGCTCCAGTGTATCCAAAAATCACATCTGAAACATGAGGAAGTTTTAGATAGACACTTTGGATGGTGACATATGCCAATGTCAGCTGCTGTGTGTTCCAGAACAGCAGAGTTAGATCTTTAACAAAGAAGTAGGTACAAAACCTTGTATATGCTGTATGGTGAATTTAATAACATGGAAAGGGTTCAGATAAGTATGTGAGCTATCTATGTAATAGCAAATATTAGGAAATATCCTCAGCCTTTGGTGTCATGGATTCTCATTAACTTTGGACAACTGTTTAGAAAACTGCTGAAGGAGGAAGAATTATGTTCAGTGGCATGTGGCTGTAGGTTTCAGCTGGAGTATTTAGGACTGATAATTACCTTGTGAAGTGACAATGAAGAGTGAAGAGGGTTTTTTTGGGTTTTTTTCCAATTCTTAGCTACTGGGGCACAATCTGAATACTGGAATGGAGGAGTGCTGGGAAGTGAGCCATCCATGGGTAGTATGATGCAACTTCAGCAGTCTTTCAGAGGGCCTGAATTTGCTCATAGCTCTATAGATGTCGAGGGACCATTTGCAAACATAAACAGAGGTAAGTAATGGCAATTTATTTTGCTGGGATTGTAGGTGTCTATGGAATTTTTCCAACTATGCTTAAGTAACCGTTCCTTCTTAGATCCTTTTCTGTCCACTCTTGGGTAATTTAGCTAAAGGGTTTTTTGGAATTCTTTGTAAAAATAAACAGAAATGTAGCTAAATTATGGTCAATATATGTGGTGACTGTGGTATGTGCAGCAGTGATCTTAGCAAACAGCAGTTACCAGTGCTTTGTTGTATGTTCCTTATGTTGACAATGGAAGATAGTGGCTTCTTCTTTCAATATCTGCTGGTGTTCTTTTTTTCCATTTGTATTCAGATTCCCTACTTCCTGAATATGAGCATCATATTTGTATTAGAATAAATTATACCTCTGTTTTATTCATTGATTTTGCATGGGTTTTGACTCTGCCTAGGGGGCCACTTATGGAAATCTGATTGCAAGACCAGGATGTACGTGTTGTTATGTAAATCAGTGCTTGATTTTTTCTTGTCAATAATTACTGCTTTTGAACTTTGTTTCCCAAATGGCCTCTTGTAAATTGGCTTCTGATACTCTGGTTTCCTTCACTGTTGTCCTGGCTCTGGAACCTCTCCTGCATATAGTTGAGTTTTCTGTCAGTTTCTCCCTTTTCAGTTCAATCCTTCAGGCTCTGTCTAATTTAGAAGTCTGTGCCTGCAAAGTGGGAGGGGTGGGTCATCCCTGTGATGGCCCCAGCTTCATATACTAAGCCTTTAATCAACCTATGTGGTCCTGAGAAGAGAACCTATTTCTATCTTGAAAGAATGACCATCCACAAGAAGTCTAAGAAAGTTTTAAAACTTAAAAGTCTCTGCTTCTGTAGGGAATAAACATACAATGTTACAGAAAGCAAAGGAATTTTTCTTCAGAAGTGGAAGTTCCCACAGTGTTTTGCTGTGTTTTTTATTCATATAGTCTAATTGAAATACATGTAGATCTGAAGGAAAAAAAAAGTGTTTGGTTATGAATGAATATATTACTCCTATATATTATTACTTATTTTACAACTGTCAGCTTGATTTCGTGGAAACATTTCATCAATCCTTTTTAAAGGAAATATCACTGTGGTGATAATATATTTAACACTTTTATTTTGCCACATTATCAAATTGTGTGACATTATCAAATGGTATGAGTTCTTAAAATTTGTAAAATTTAAATAATCAAGTAAAAACACTACTACTATTTTGAATAAAATGTAGTATTCATGATGTTAAGAGGTTATGACTTACCTCTTATGCAGTGTAATGACATGTGAAGATCTCTAAGACTTCATTGTGGGTTTTTTTTCCATTGGCAGATGATTGGGATGCTGCTGTTGCCAGTTTATTGCAAGTTACTCCTCTGTTTTCCCACTCTCTGTGGAGTAACACAGTAAGATGTTATATTATCAGTACTGATGAGACTCAGCCAGAAGTGACTATATTCATTAGAGTGAGTACCTCATAAACCTATGCTCACTTGTATGCTATCTTGTTTGAATGTGATGCTGGTTCAGAAGTTTGTCTAATACTTCTTAGTATGTAAAGACTACATGTACTAACATGTAGTCTGATTTCAGTGAAATCAGTGAAAGTATTGTCAAGGGCTTCAGGGGAGCACACTGCTTAGAGAAAAGAAACAGATTTGTTTGGTAGGTCCTTAGTGCTACGCATGTTTAGTAATAAAGCACTG